AGGTAATTTGGGACAGATCAATAATTAGGTGTCTTTTTTGCTATTATTTCCAGATCCAAATATAAGGAGAGGAAGAATCAAACCCAGGCTGACAAACGTGACAGTGAAACCCACCTGTTTAATGTGGACAGTGGAAATAAGATAAGAGTGGGCTCTGATAAAATGACTGTGCTCTGCAGAAAAGACCTCTGATGAACTTCTGCCACTTAAATCATGGCTTTAAGTGAGACGTCCACATGAATTTCCTTCAAATAAAAAAACTGTGAATTCTCTATTAATCAAACGAAACAAACAGCTCCACCTCTCCCTCCTCAATGAGTTGAGTTTCAGCACACTTTTGAAAAGCTCTGCCTCCATAATAACCTCAGTGCCGGCCATGGTTTCTGATTGATGCTGCAAATTTAATTGAACTGGAGAACAACAGGAGAGGTCAAAAAGGTGAAACACACTTCATCAAATAAATTATGCTTTTTGTAGCGTCTCACCACCAATCTGACAATACACACTTTTTAATCTATTTGCCTAAACAAGAGTGTTTAGGCAAATTTTGTTTCTAGATCCTATCTGGTTGTTTCCCTCCTGACCATCTGCCATTTTGCCTTCTCGCTCATACTTGGCCCAGTGATATACTGTTTGCTCCTCACTCCTTTCCACATTCTTTTTCGCCTATACGCACCAAACTGGTTCACTGAGAGGCTTCATCCTGGCCGGCACTATTCCAGCCAAGGGGGAAGAGGATTTCCTGACGCTGGCCGCTTCGCGGCTCAGCCGCAGGAAACGTGTCATTGGCGCTGCTGTAGGTGTGGCAATGGTCCTAATATTGTTGGTGGCCATTCCCCTGTTGGTCCACACAACCAAAGGGGGGAACACGGGAAATTCAGGGAGCCATTATGAAATGCTTGGAAGCTGCCGGATGGTATGTGACCCTTTCACCACGTCTCAACCAGGCCAGGAGCTGGCAGCTGTGTCACCAGCGCCCCAGGATTACTCTGGGAAGAAGATAAAGTCAGGGCTTCGTGGGCCACCAGGGATCCCTGGTCCTCCAGGAGTACGTGGACCCCCTGGGGAGCCAGGCAAACCAGGTCCTCAGGGGCCCCCGGGTCCAGGTCCTGGTGGCTATTCGCCCTCACACTACACTCCCAAAATTGCCTTTTATGCAGGGCTACGCAAGCAGCATGAGGGGAGTGAAATACTGAAGTTTGATGATGTGGTGACCAATGTAGGCAACTACTATGAGCCCAGTACCGGCAAATTCACCTGCCCTCTGCCTGGCATCTACTTCTTCACCTACCATGTTCTAATGAGAGGTGGTGACGGGACCAGCATGTGGGCTGACCTGAAGAAGAACGGACTGGTTGGTAAAACTATTTCTATGTGTGTGTGTGTGTGTGTGTGTGTGTGTGTGTGTTTGTGTGTATATATGTGTGTGTTTGTGAGCACATATATGTTTGTATGCACACACACGATCATGCAGCAGATTTTTTTTTCCACTGTTGACCATCCTGTGTTACCATTGACACACTCACCTCTGTAACATTGAGCTCTTCAGATTCAGAGCACATTCCGCTGCTCAGGTGGAAACATGACAGCATGAATGAAACAACAATCTTTCTCCTCATTACGGTGGAATCCGTGATATACAGACCAAAATTGCAGCTGCAGATATTTGCATTCCCACATTGACTGTGGTTAAATGACAAGTGGCAGAATGCAACGCTGCTGCCGAAAGGAACAGTCTAATTAGCGAATATCATGCACAGAGCTTGATTATCGCATAAACAGAAGTGCAAAAGAGCACGACAGAAATGTCTGTCAGTATGTGGACCAGTCAGCTTACACCTCAGCTAAATAAATAATGACTGTAAAATTGACAGTCCACTCATCCACTCCCTCATTCCCCAGACACTAATTAAAGACAGAGGGGCTGATGG